TTGAGTCTTGAGCGGGAGATTGTTCATATAAATGGTTCACCATTGAGTTATATTGTGACATGCTATATTGTCTTGTGGATTACACAGGATTGTGTACTGGTATTCATATTAACTACCCAAGGGTAGTATGAGGTATTGGGTTGACATATATAACTTGGTTTGGTCGATATTTTAGTATTGCATTCATTTATTCTTTTTTTCTTAGTTTTGGAGTTAATATTTAGCGATTCACAATTTGAGACATATGATATATACATGAGGGTTTCCTTGTTTGGATTATTTCACTCGACGTACCAGTCTCGTGTTGTGGATTTCTATGTATTAACCCTATCTAGTACAAGGTAAATGATTTAGGTAGACTATGCATATATAGGTAGAGCCTCCATCATATGTAGCACCCCTTCCCCTGGGGGCGAATGAAGATGATCTTGTTAGAGCTCTGACGCTGTTGTTTCCCCTTCTTTTCAGGTAGAAGATCAGAGTTTCGAAGAACTGTAGGGTGACGGAGTTTCTGCATAGTCACCGTCATTTCTTGATAGACAGCTTGAGGTCCACATTAGTTTAGTATTTGTTTAGTTATTTATAAACTTGTATTTTATTTTGAAGGTTGAGAGCCTTAGTACTTGTAAAACCCCGTAAATTTGAATATTTTATAATAAGTAATGTTAAATAAATTATATAATAAAAAATAATATATTTTGATGTTTGAGTATGATAAGAATTGATTTAAGATCAATTTAATGTATATTTGTGAATATATGAGTGCAAATGCACAAAACATGCATAAAGAGAAATCTGGAAAAAATGACCAGTTAGTAGTTTCTATTATTTAGATATAGATGTAGTTAGAATCTGAAAAATGTAAAAGACCAAAATTTTATTTCTCTTTAATAGATTTCCAACAAATCTTAGATCACCTCATTTTGAGGTTATATGAGTAAGTTACAGCCAAAATATCAAAGGTAGTTTTCCTAGTCAGACTAGGTTTCCTGGTTCGGGACAAACAGATTTGTTTCGGGTTTGCCTCTATATATACCTATATTTTTTATGAAAATTCCTCTCTTTTATCACATCTATGAACCCTAGCAGCCACACTCTCCTCTCAAAAAACCTAGATCTTTTTCTTATAAATTCTGAGAGCTTTGTGAAGCACAACACCGATACGAGGGCGAGATCATCGATGTGTGACAAGGAAGAACGGGTTTTTTGTACTTGTGGATCACTTGCTATTTATTTTAAAGGTTTGCACATGAGATTAAAGCAAGATCATCTTCATCCAAACCTTACCCATAGTTTAAAACATGATTTTATGAAGTAATATGTTTAATATGATGCTTAGATATTAATCTAATGTGAAAAGATTAGATTTTTGTTGTTAGATTTTATACAAATGTTAGATCTATATGAGTTTCTTGCTGTTTATGATAGTTTTATGATCATGATCATTAGGTTTCTTCAAAATTTTGTTTTTATATGAAAAATTAAAGAGATTTACTAATGATATATTTTTTTTGCAGAAAACTGCTGCACTTATATAAGTTTTAACTGAGATTTTAATATATCAAATAAACTTCAAATTTAACCAAACTAGTGCCAAATGGAAGTTATGTGAATTTAGTTTTTAAAATAGAAAAGCATTCTTAAAAATACTTTGTATAGAGAAAGATATGCTTGTTTTATTAATAATATGTCTTGTAGAAAAACTACTGCACATGTATAATGTTTAACTAGAGATTTGGGATAACAAATGAACTCCAAACTGAACCAAACTTATGCCAATTGAAAGATGTATGAATCTAGTTTTAAAAATAGTAAACCATTTATAAAAATAGTTTTCCTAGAGAATGATATGCTCTTTTTACTAACAGAAGTCCAGACTATTTTTTTTAGTTTTCTTGTTGTGTTGGTTTGCGCCGTTTTGAAATGTGTTGCGGAATTTAAGCTGCTTGGTGTTACACTTATAATCATGAATATGTTGTTATATATATGTGAGTATCTCTAAAAAATTATGATAAAATATTTTTTTTTTGTTTACACATCTGAGATTGTGAGTTAGTACATCGCAAATGAGACTACGAGCCAGACAGAAGCCTAGGCAACCCCTGGACCCTGTCATGGTCGACCGACGCAAGGCTGCGATTGACTTCCAACCCCTGTTTTTGGCCATGCATGTTTTGTTTGATATTGTTTTGATCTTCGAGAGAGTTCTCGATCTTGCACTGTTATAATACCATATTTAAGAGTTGTTTAACACCTGGGATGATGGTGAACACCAGATATGGACACACACACCGAGATATGTGCACGTACACTTATTATGTTATGTTAACATACTTTTATCGCACATTGAGCTGATAATTCATGCGTAGCTCGAGGAGTACACGTACGGGGTTCAAGTACGTATGACCACATCATTTGGGGTTTTCAAACAGTTTAAGAGTAACAACTATTATAGTATATACATTATAATTATAAATGGTTGGGTGGAGTTAGTCAGGTCCCGCAATGAGACCGCGGATGAGCTACACTCTGAGTGCTTTAGTCGGGTCCTGCAATGAGACTGCAGATGGACTATACTTCTTTATCAGTCCTCATGGAGATGCGCAGAGGTTGATATACCTATCTATTGGTCCGTATAAAGATGCACAGAGGTTAATATACGTATCTATTGGTCCGCACAAAGATACGCAGAGGTTGATATACCTATCTACCGGTCCACACGAATATGCGGAGAGGTTGGTATACCTAACTATTGGTCTGCATCGTTATACGATAGTTATTATACTTAGTTACCGGTCTGCACGTGAGTGCGATGAATTGACATACTTAGTTATCGGTCCGCACGGGAGTGCGATGAACTTATATATCTAGTTATTAGTCCGCACGGGAGTGTGATGATTTGACATATCTATTTACCGGTCCGCATGAGGGTGCGATGGGTTGAAGAATTCCAGAGAAGAACAATTTTATAAATAACCTAAGTGTAGGTGAATATTGACATCATCAATATAATCCATTGTGAAGGTATTCATAACTTAGTTATACGAGATAGTATATCGATATCGGTTTTGCCTACTAAGGGTAGTATGAGGAGTTGATAGGACATTTTTGGAGATGTATGATGTAGCATTTCCAGTATCATCTTTCTTGTATTCTTTTTATTCTTAGTTTTAGAGTTAATATTTAGCGATTCACAATTTAAGACATATGATATATACATGAGGGTTTCCTTGTTTGGATTATTTTGCTCAACGTACCAGTCTCGTGTTGTGGGTTTCTAATTATTGATTTTATTAGATTGTTTGTCTCTAGTACGGTGTAAATGTTTAGGTGTCTATAATTTGAGACATATGGTATATATATGAGGGTTTCCTTGTTTGGATTATTTCACTCGACGTACTATGTCTCATCTTGTAGGTGTCTAAACTTTAACTCCACTAGATACGAGGAAAATGATCTAGATAGACTATGCTTAATAGGTAGAGCCTCCACTTCATCTAGCAGCCATTCCCTTGGGGGTGGATGGAGGTGATCTTACTGTAGCATTCTGACGCTCTTGTTGTTGTTCTTTTTATTCAAATTATCTCTTTCAGGTAAATTAGAGTTTCGAAGAGCCGTAGGATGACAGAGTTCTAACATAGTCGACATCGCATAGTCGTAGTAGCTGAAGCTCCACTGTATAGTTATATTCATTTTTCAGACTTTAGAGTTATATTCATTTTGTAGAGGCTGAGTGCCTTAGTGAGATTTCATTTGACTCATTGTGTTGAGATTTATTTCAGACTCAGAGATATTTTCATTCTATTTCAGTTGGGCTCATTTATTGATATACTTCTTCTATGCATATCTGATTTTGTACTACTTCTATTATTTACCTGTTTTGTACCTTTACCTATTTGTTGATTCCACTAGCGAGATAGTGACTGTGATGGTGAAACATATCGTAGCATAGTATTTGGTGCTTGGCAGGTTTGACAATCCGGGTTTCACCTTAAACTACAGCCCTATATGAACCCTGGGGCGTCACAATACTATTTCAGTTGATTCTGTGTATTGAGATATTTTACATTTATTTCAGTTCATCAGTTGTACTCTTTTTACTCAGTTGGGACATGATCATATCCTTTAGATATTTCTTTCTCTTAGCATGTTCATTGAATTTTTACTTTTCTCGTATCTGCTTGTACTTGCACTATTCTTAATTGATTTCACTAGAGAGATGTTACTGTGATGGTGAAACATGTTATTGCACTGTGTGAGTATATGACATGTTTGATATCTCTGGATTCACCTTGGACTACAACCTCGTGTGAAACCAGGGGCGTCACAATTAGGTATAATATAACTACTTTTATTGCATGAATCTTTCACAAATCTATTTAATTTAATATTTAAATTAATAGTTGAACACCTTATTTCACATATTTTTCTTAAATCAACCAAGAAACCAATCCCCTTCAATTATAACTAAATCATATACAAAATTAGATTCTTTTTATCTAAGTTAGTTAAAATAGAAAAATATTTTGGTTTAGATAAATAACTATTTTTTTGGAAAGATGCATTATGCGAGTAATGGACTAGTGTTCTTCGCTCGCATCCTCAATCTAGAGATATTCATGTAAGCTATACACAAAGTTTCTTTTAAAATCTTATTAATCAATGCAATTTCAATTTAGTTTTGAAAGATCTTAGTTTTTATATGACTCAGTTAAAATAACATCTAATTGTTCCCGTCTTGCCACCGTCATGTAGGGGTGGCAAACGGGTCGACCCGACCCGACCCGACCCATATAAAATTTAACCCGACCCATATAAGTGTGACCCGACCCGACCCGTTTAATAAATGGGTCAATGTGATCCGACCCGATTATTAAACGGGTTACCCGACCCGACCCATATAACCCGAATAACCCATTTATCTAATACAAGACATATACTAACACATATAACTAATAAAATTTTTTATACAAGCACAAAAAAACACTTCTTGCAAGCTCTTTAGACAAAAACTATCACTACTCACAATATGGAGTTATTTCAAAGACATATTCAGTATTTAAATGTATTTCAACAAATTGCAAATATCGACAAACAAAAATACATCATTTGTTCAAGGCCCTGGACGGTCCCAAATCATGTCGCAAGGAAAAATGTCTTCACAAGGACCTGGAAATATTGGTCGAGGGGGTTTCCTACCGCAATAAGCAATGAAGATCAGTAAAGGAAAACATATGTAGACATTATACAATAATATAGCATGTAGTTATCCTTCTTTTCCGCATTTATTTTAGTTCCCTCTCTTCTTTAACTCTTTGCAGTATATTCATGTACTCTTTGCAGTCTGGTGCCAGGAACCCATAAGTCTTCATGAGGCAATCAAATGTGGCCTGCACACAGAAAAAAGCAACAGGATTTTAATAGATTGGTATTAGTCTCAATATTAATACCATAATATCACTTGTGAAAGAACAATTACCATAATTTGAATAGACTCCTGCCAAAATGCCAATTTGATAATTTAGCCCAAAAAAATTTACAATGTATCATGTACAAAACATCCGTACTAGAGAAACCCACCTCTTGAATCCAAAAGGTTAAAACCTCACCTTAAAAAACCTCACCTTTAAAAAAAACCAACATGAATGGAAATCCAATAGTCATACACATCAGATCAAAGATACTGATATTAATCCACAAAAGCAACATTACGAACACCCAACCTCACCTATTATCCGAATAAATAATCAAAAAAAGTTGAATTCGAGACATTACCAAATTATTTCTGCAGCCATGACATAGTGACAAGCACACTCATTAAATGAGTCCAACAAGGTTGTAACTTACCTGTTAATACTCTTGACTATATACGAAAGTTCGCTCACCTCTATTCAAAATTTCAAATCATGAAGATATTCAAAATCTAGATGCAAGTATGGGTAACAAATTAAATAAAAAAATGTATCTAGTAAATTTGACCTGACCTGAAAATCTAAATTGAGGAGCCAATGAAAACCTGAAAATTCTTATAAGAGTAAAGATTATACAATAACATGTAAAGGAATAAGTTACCCAGTTTAGTATATTTGTATTTGTAGTTTACTTATTATCTCGTATTTCGTACTATATATAGCGGTACTGCGTGATCTTTCTCTCAATAGATTCCTTAAAATATACATACCTTTCCCCCCAATAACTTAAATAAACACAAGTTCCATGAAAATTAATCTCTATTCCTAGGCTACATAGTGGATGACCTGCTGAGATATATACTAAGGAAATAACAAGCCTCTCTATGCATTATTAACACAGTCCACAAACATAGGGATCCCTTTGATCTCTCTCACTTTTTTGCTGTTCTCCTCTTTAATGAAAGAGAGTTGATTGTAAGTAGTAGAAAAGAAGCTGACAAGAAACTATAAACGACTGTTCTCTTTACAAAGTCATAAAGCATTACAAATTATACATCTCACTATCAACCTAAGGGTAGAAAATTCATCATATAGATAGTTAATGCCTAAACACGAGGAATAAATTACCACATTCATCATAATCAGTTTGTATGTCAAATGAGAGAAAAATAAAAGGCATGGAATAGATAATCATTTATAACTGTAAAATGTTTACAAAAGACATCTACAGTATAAATTTGAACTAGTTCTGATCACTAGTACTGAAGATTATGGTGCAGCTTGATATGCAAAAGAGATTTATCGATAAGATGGTTGAAGCCAGGGAGGATTAGAGATGAAGCCAAGGTTCTGTTATTTGTTTATTGGAGTTAAAACTTGAAGAACAGGGAGAAGGGAGTTAAACTTGGCGAGCAAACTTGGGATGTTATTTTACATGGAAATCCTCATTTTTATAAAATACAAGGATATGCTATAAAATACATCAGAATCATGAAACCAAGTAATTTTGGGCGCATCTGTGATATTGGTAAATCATTCTCTATGTTGTTCTTCTGAGACCCCACATCCAACCAAACTTGCACTTAAAGTCAAGAATTTGAAATTGGTCAATGATTCTTGGTGGACAAGTATTCTAAGTGAGGTAGCTAGCAAGTGTACCACTGAATTGTGGCCTTAAAATACACACTGTGGCGGCTATGCTTAGTTCGGGATCATTACATAAATGATTTTTCTTCAACTGTGTTTCAATCATTGACTTTAAATATTAGAGTGAAAGATTACAATCACGAACCCTTACCACAATTTAAAGGTATCAGTGCAGCGGAATGAACCTTGGACCTGCTAATAAAGCAATCCAAATTGAAGTCTCACAGACCGGTAAATTTTTAAATTGCTTTTAAGGGATAAAAAAAATTGCTCTGTAAGTTCAGATTGTAATCCCATGAAAGGACCCTCAGCTTACAAGGATGAAAAAAAACCCCAAAATTGATAAAACGCAAGATCAAAAAGCCCTAGCTAAGAGTGTACCTCAAAATCCAGTGATTAGCTCGATTGAAGATCCGATTCTTCTGTTCAAGAGGAACTGAGTTCGATTGGAGAGAGGGAGGAGGAATCGATGGAGTGAGGAGAACTCGAGCGCCGTTAGCCGATCACTGCCGCTCGCCGTTTGCCGCCGCTCGCCGTTCGCTGCCGCTTGCCGCCGATCGCCGTTAGCCGCTCACCGCTCGAGCTTTTTGTTTTTGGGGAGGAGGAATCGATGGAGTGATGGAGTGAGAAGAACTAGGGCTTTCTTTCTCTCTGCGTTCTTTTTTTTTTCTTTCTCTGGAGCGGCGGAATAGAATGGGTAAATTTGGGTCGGGAATTTTGCTATACGGGTCAATAGGTCAACCCGAATTGACCCATTTAATAAATGGGTAAATTTGGGTTGACCCGTTTATGACCCGATCCATATAATTTGATCCGTACCCATTATAAATGGGTCGGGTCGGGTCGGGTTAACGGGTCGGGTCATAAATTGCCACCCCTACCCGTACCCATTATAAATGGGTCGGGTCGGGTCGGGTTAACGGGTCGGGTCATAAATTGCCACCCCTACCGTCATGCCACCATTGGCCTTCTTCTCAGCGTCCCAATCATCGCCTTCATTTCCTACATTGAGTTAGAGGCCAATGGGTACCAGTGGGCCCTAGGATCAATGTTGACTGAGATTATTGCTGTAACAATGGAGATGCTCAGGATGAATTTTTGACAATGCTATTGCAAAATATGAATGTTATTTTTGTGATGAGAATATTGATGAACTTGGATTTTTCTTATGTTCTTTTTTTGGGTAAAGATTGATTGTTTGCCCCTTGCATTTTGTTATAGATGAGGAGACTCGATGGTATGATTGGAAGGTGAGTTTGTTTTATTTCAAGATTGGTAGCTCCATTATCAAACTTTAAGGTTAAGTGATGTCCGAGTCGTACTTTAAAATTTCCACTTATGCTCCTCCTCCATCCAAAAACTGTGATGGACCAAACCTTAAAATCTTGTAACTTTTTGATTTAAATTGATTTTTTGGTAGGTTTTACTTTAGAACTTGATCCATTGCTGACAAATTTTTTTGAACATTAGGCATTTCAAGTTAATTTGACCGAAGTCTTGATCTTTTTATTTTTCTTTTTGTTTTAGAGAAATAAGATTGTAATAGATTTGAGACCATTAAGCTATCAAAAATGTTCACCGTTAAGTTGTCTTCTCTTGATCAACAGAGCAAGTTATAAAAATTAAAGATTGGATTATGAAATTGTGAACCTTGAAATCCCTCTCGACCAAGAATGAGCGACTTGATGCTATTTCTAATGGTGGAGGTCATATTATTGGGTATGCAATTATTTTTATCTATTTGTTTGTATTTTGAGGTTTTAGCATTATCTAATGATATATATAATCTATGATCGATATTTGTTATTCACATAAGTATTTCATAATAATAGAATTTTCTAATTATTTAGTTTGTTATTCACCTAAGATTGTGAGGTATATTCTATGCCACATTCATGTTCTTATTGACAATCCAATGGTGTGAGTTCTTTCTATAAATGTTTTTATTTCTTGAGTATTTTCTCTTTGCCAATATTTTTGATTGGACAACCGCTCCAATTCTAATTAACAAGGAAAAACTTTAGTTCTTGGGATTGTAAGTTTATTTTGTTTCTTCTTAATTTTGTTTCTTTTTTTCTTTTCCATTTTTAGAAGGTTTGGGCAAAGATTGAAGTAGTCGTGGGGATCTAGAGGGCATACTATGTGAGCAACTGGATGAATTGAAGGTATATTTGATGGAGATGGATGATTGTGCTTAGGATTCTATCAAAAGATAAAATATTTTTCTTTAACCATTTATTTTTAAGCATTTTGATATAATTTGCTTCTTTTCTTTGTGAATACTTTCCAAATTATTATTGACCATTTAGATCTATGATTTCTATAATTTATTGTCACATATATTTTAAATTTATTTACTCATAATTATTTAAGATTCATACTTTTTCATCACATGTAATTCTAATTTACTTTAAACGCTGACTTATGACTAAACTTGCCTCACTCTGCTATGACTTAACTTTCATCGCTCTGTATGATTAAACTTGGATTGCACTGCTATGATTAAACTTACATCGCACAACTATGACAAAAAGATTCAAAGGTACTAAAGTAAAGACAAGAAATTTGGGGAATTTTCTCTCTGTGTTCATTCAATCAGGGTCATCCCCAATATTATACCACATACCAAAGCTTATAAATTAAGCGACAAACCTCACAAAAAATCTCCTAAAACAATCCCGCTTTAAATAGGAAAACAAATAATATCACAAAATCAACATATTATTCGGAAGGATACCAAAATAATATCTATACAACAAGAATATATGGATAATACCCCCCCTCAAGTTGGAGCATGTAATCGCAGAAATGCCCCAACTTGCTCTAGCAAACAATGAAATTTGAGATCGCCAAGCAGCCTTTGTAAGACATATCAGCTAGCTGAAAATGCAGTATTCACATATCGATGGCGCAATAGCTGCCTCACACGCCATCTCCATCAGCCCGAACAAAGTGACAATCTATCTCATATGTTTAGGTGCGTTCATGAAAAAACTGGATTATTAGCCACATTATGAAGTGCGGCATGACTGCTCAACAATGAAGTGGACAGCCGATGCGATTGGTCAATGCCCAAACTCCGCAAGCAGACCTCTTTCAACCAAATTAATCTCACTTGTAAGCCGCAGAAGCCATTGCACGCATATTCTGCTTACAGCAGAAGAACGCAGAACACAGTATCCTGGCTTCTGTGTTCCAAAGCAAATAGTGCGAAACCAACAAGAAATTACAAAAATATGCGCCGCCTGAGAGCCTCGCCACGCTGAACGCACGACCTTAATGGACAACTTGCCCAATCAGCATCACAGTATAGACCTCAAATGTCATAAGAAGCATTAGGCCCCAACGAAGATAAAATACCCTGCCACCTGGATTGCCCTTAAATAAACGACAGAACCCGCATAACTGCGCCAGTGTGCTTGCCGACGGACTTATGCATTGAACTTTGAGCGAGAATGCTGCCCACGGCAGTAGTTAATTCTCTGGTCGAGTAAGAAGCTACAATAAATTAATATCGCCACCAACCGACGATATACGTGCTAGGCCCTCACTAAA